GGACTTTGGCCGTGGTTCCTTGCATCCACGGAGTAAATACGCTGTTTGATTTTCGGCTGTAATTCGCGACATATTCTCCTCCAGTTTTGTTTCGACCCAAAAAGACCATGCATTACAATTAAAGGTGGTAAAGTTTTGTCTGTGTTAGGCCCTTCGTACAATATATAGGCCATTTTTATTGGTTTTGAATCTGATTTAAAACTTCGAACGCATTTTTTTGACGGCCGCGTTGAAAGCAGTCTAACCGAAAACATTTTATAAATTCATGATTCGCTATTTCACTAAAAATTTTTGCAATGACACCGAAAAAATTATAATTATTATTAATTTATTATTAATTTAAATAATAATTTTAAATTTATAATTTTTGTGTATACTGTCAATTTTAATATTATTTTTTTGTTGAAAATATTTATAAAAACTTACTATATCATAATAATACTTCAATTATCCAAATGAAAGGATAGTGTTCACTTTGCTTGTAAGACAAATCAGACAAATCAGACAAATCCTGTTCCATTCCTTTCCATTTTTACTACAAAACAATCTAATACCAACTTTTAAGCTGGTGTATTTAAAAATTTTGCTACTACATTTGCAAATCTCATTGGCTCCTCCAAGTGCACCATATGACCAGTGTCCAGCCAATCTAGTTTCGAGTTCGGAAATATTTTTTGAACAGCTGGCCAACTCTCAGGATCCATGAAAGCTGAATGTGTGCCACAAGCAAAAAGCATTGGTCTTGGGAATGGCTTCAAATTGTTTACATGCTCTGAAAATTCCGAAAATTTTCGTAAATTATTGAGTAATGCGTCTATATTAGACGTCCAATAAAATTCACCAGATTCACGTTTTTTAAAATTCAGCATTAGAAAGCTAGCAGTATAGGGACTTATTATAGCTTGTAAGTCCTTTTCAGCCATTCTTCGTCCCTGTGCTATAGATAAATCTTTCGGTATTGATATATTTTTCATGGTAAGCATTAAGCTTTCTAACTCAGGTAGACTGGAAGGCATTGAAAGTGGAGATATGTCAATGATAACTCCACGTTCCACTAAATCGGGACGTTGTAGAGCTAAGTACATCATTGCTCTGCCACCCATACTGTGTCCCATTACTGAAGCTCTTGCGTAACCTTCTTGACGTATAAATTCCGCCACATCTTCTGCCATATTCGCCGCACTATGTTCATTTATGTGTGGACTTTCGCCGTGGTTTCTGGCATCAACGGCGTAAATTCGCTGTTTAATTTTGATTTGCAGCTTTTTACATACTAACATCCAGTTTTGTTTTGAACCGAAAAGTCCGTGCATCACGACCAATGGTGGCAAAGTTTTGTCAGTATTAGGTCCTTCGTAGACATTATAGGCCATTTTTACTGGTGTTAAATTTGATTTAAAATTTCGAGTGCATATTTTTAATGGCTGCATTGAGGAGCATTATAGAAAATATATTCAAAAGTCGTGTTTTATATCGACAGCAGAAATAGAAAATTAAAAATTATGGTTATTAAAAAAATTTTTTTTTACATTACTGTCAAATATTTAAAAAAAAAATTAATTTAAAATTAAACTATCTTTATAACGTACTAATCCTGTTTCAGTCTCCAATATGTATACTTATATCTGATTCTATAATATTCATGTTGGATTTGAGATTTTAGACATTTTTTTTAAAAGGCATAGACCGCTATGACGATAGCCCAGAAAAGTAATACACCTTACATTGAAAACAAGACAATTTTTAAAAATAGATTATGATTTATTTGAATATATCACTATACAAGTAGAAAATTGCGCTTTCTTATTGAAAACATACAGAAACAGAGATAGATACTACAGCACTAAAAATAAAATATTTGAAATAATCACCAAGGGCTTCCAAGTATGCAATGACTGAATAACTCAGTTCTAAAAATATTTACAACTCGATTTCTTAAGGAATTATGCCATTAACGTTCTACAAACTTCAAGCTCCATATTAATTAAGTTATCCGACACGGAGCAAAAGGGCAGCTTTTCCTAGGGTTTTTAATGATTTTTATATGTACCCCGATTGGCTAAAAAAATGGTCCAGAACTCTTCAATTTTTTGTTGGCAGAACCTTCTGAGATAAGGATGTTAGCCTCAGCAGTGATCACAGGAAAAACGAAATGCATATGAAGACCCTTCTAAAACTCGGAGAAGAAATTGGAAATTTCATAACAAGAAGCAAATACATCTGAGGCTGTAATGAGACTATTTCACAAGAAGAAAATAGGTTAAGTCTCCAAGGTAATAGAGTATACTTGCAATCATAAAATTGAAGAAATATTAGTATTATTAGTACTATAAGTAGAAGTATTATATTTTTAAAATTCACTTAAACACGAACCATACGCATTAGCCAACATAGTGTATTCCATTGCCCAAGCTAATGATTGAATCAAATATTAACACTAAAAATGTAATGTAAACGTAAACGTTGTCATTTAAAATTCTTAAAAAAAAAAATACAATTTTGTTTTTAAATTGGTTTATTTAGAAATTGTCCAACTATAGTCACAAACTTCACGGGCTGTTCAATGTGCACCATATGACCAGAGTCAAGCCAATCTAACTCCGAATTCGGAAATATTTTTTTAATTTCTGGCCAGCTTCCAGGATCCATGAACGCTGAATCTTTTCCGCAGGCAAAAAGCATTGGTTTTGTGAATGGCTTCTGATCTATATGTTCCATAAATTCGGAAAACTTTCGTAAATTATGAAGTAATGCGTCTACATTACATGCCCAATAAAATTCGCCAGTTTTACGTTTTTTGAAGTTAAGTATAATAAAACTAACAGTATCGGGATCTATAGAAGTTTTTAACTCTTTTTCAGCCATTCTTCGTCCGTGTGCCATAGATAATTCTTTTGGTACTGATATATTTTTCATGGCAAGCAATATATTTTCCATGTCACTAATACCACGTGGCACTGAAATCGGTGATATGTCAATGATAATTCCACGTTCTACTAAATCGGGATGTTGTAGAGCTAAATACATCATCGCTCTGCCACCCATGCTGTGACCCATCACTGAAGCTTTTGCGTAACCTTGTTGACGTATAAATTCCGCCACATCTTCAGCCAAGTTTGCCGAACTATGGGCGTGGATATGTGGGCTTTCGCCGTGGTTTCTCGCATCGACGGCGTAAATTCGCTGTTTGATTTTTGTTTGTAATTCGCGACAAATTCCTCTCCAATTTTGTTTTGAACCCAAAAGTCCATGCATTACGATTAATGGTGGTAAAGTTTTGTCCGTATTAGTTCCTTCGTAGACATTATAGGCCAATTTTACTGGTGTTAAATTTGTTTTAAAATTTCGAATCCAAATTTTTAGTGGCTGCGTTGCGAAAAGCATTGCTGAAAACATTGTATAAAAGTGTCATTTGCAAAGTTTATTAATATTATATTGTAATAAAAACGTAATAATTTGTAAGAAGTTGTTTCAAAAAATATTTTTGTTATTCTGTCAGATATTTCAAAACAAATTATTTTGTGGATTACGTTTTAATTTGTGCTTTGTTTGGAACTTAAATTTTGAGAGGCTGAGCACTCAATAGCAAATGCGAGCAGTTTATGCTGAATTCATACGAGAGTTTTCTTTGTAATTTTAGCTGTCAAAAATTTTGATTTTGCATTGAAAACAACAACAATTGAAAAGCTAAAATTACAAGCATGACAGCTAAAATTACAAACAAAACTCGCGTGTGAATTCATTATTACTTACTGATAAAAACTGTGTTTTTTTGGAGCGAATTCGCATTTTTATATTCGCTTAAAAGGCAACACACATTTCATTCTTAAAAATGTATTGGAAAATTATTGACAACTTTTGGTAGAAAAAAAAAGTAAGAAATTTAAACATTTTAATGGGCATTTTTTTCTATACTCTTTTGTGCTATAAAGTGTTTTCCCTTACATAAGAATCAAGCATATATACATATGCGCTCCCAAGAAAACACAGTTAAGTCTGACTTGACTTTGATTTGATAATCGTTTTGTGGACATTTACCACGCCACGTTATGGCACATTAGTTATATAAACCAAAAAATAGATTTAAATTATATTTTTTTAGACTATTACATTTTTTTAGATAAATTATTTATATTAACTAAAAACTGATGATTTGCCTAAGCTCATATTTACTATTACCCAAACTGATTATTCCACGAAATAATTTATTTTAACAAATTTTGTTATTATTCTAAATTGTTTGAAAATTAAATAAAATATATATTGTCTTTAAATTTTTTGATTTAGAAATTCTGCCACTATATTCACAAACTTCACTGGCTGCTCTATGTGTATCATATGACCAGTGTCAAGCCAGTGTAATTTCGAATTTGGAAAAATCTTTTGAATATCTGGCCAACTATCAGGATCCATGAAACTTGAGTTGTTTCCGCAGGCAAAAACCATTGGGTTTGTGAATGGCTTTAGATTATCTACATGTTCTAAAAACTCCGAAAATTTTCGTAAATTATTAAGTAATGCGTCTATATTAGGTGCCCAATAAAATTCACCACTTTCACGTTTCTTAAGGTTCAGCATAATAAAATGAACAATTTCAGGATCAATAGCAATTAATTCTTTTTCAACAATTTTTCGTCCCTGTGCCATAGTTAAATCCTTTGATACTGATATATTTTTCATAGCCAGCATTAAAGCCTCCATTTCAAATACACTATGAGGCACTGAAAGCGGTGATATGTCAATGATAACTCCACGTTCTACTAAATCGGGATGTTGTAGAGCTAAGTACATCATCGCTCTCCCACCCATACTGTGTCCCATCACTGAAGCTTTTGCGTAACCCTCTTGACGTATAAATTTCACCACATCTTCAGCCATATTTGCTGAACTATGTTCATTTGTATGTGGGCTTTCGCCGTGATTTCTCGCATCGACGGCGTAAATTCGCTGTTTGATTTTCGTTTGTAGTTCGCGACATATACCCCTCCAGTTTTGTTTTGAACCGAAAAGTCCATGCATTACGATCAATGGTGGTAAAGTTTTGTCAGTATTAGGTCCTTCGTAGACATTATAGGCCATTTTTACTGGTCTTAAATTTGATTTAAAATTTCGTACATATTTTTTTAATGGCTGCGTATAAAGCAGCTTTGTTGAAAACATTTTATAAAATCATTACTGTAGATTTTACTTAAAATTTATTACAGCAAAATTATTTAAATAAAAGCAATAAATTATAAAATAAATTAAATAAACACTAATAAGTTAATTATTTAAATAAGGAAATTATTTTTATTGTTGCTGTCAAATTTTTTTTTTTAATTTTTGGTTGGATTTTTTCTTTAGTGTATATAAAATTAAATTTATTGTTGTTGCTTGAGTCTATAATCAGTGCACATTGCAAGTATGAGTGAGTATTCTACGCGCTGATTATGTTGAGTTGTTTTTGCTTTGGCAATAAGCAGCGGTTGATGGTATTCGACATGCCACGCTGTATGAGTGGCTCATGTAAGTTACGCAAACGAAAAAAATAGTTTTTAATTCACTTTTTAAAACGAATCGCACACAAGTTGTTTATAGATTGTTTATCTCAATATAGTTTAAATATTTTGGTGAAATAAGCTTTATTTTATTATATGAAAAAATCAATATATCTCACTGAATTTCTTTTAGAATGCCCACGGAGTATAGAATCAGAACGTAAACAACACACAGCTGACATGCCCCAAATCGAATACTGACGTGCAAAATCTCACAAAAATATGAGAGCACACAAAAATCTGAAATTCGCTCACCATTTAAATGTCAAAGTTTTTAGAGTTGCCAAAGTCACGATTTTTTCAAAAATGTTCAACTGATATCATTTTAAATTTTTGATTTGAAAAAACAAAATACTAAAATTGATTAAAATAAAACAAGAATATTATATATAATAAAAAAATTGATTTTAATTATTTGAAAGAGAAAATACAGAATAAGCTATGCAGTTAGTATCATAATTTTATTATAAAAGAATTTTATATAAAAGAAACTATATATAATGTAATGTACGTTAAATGAAATAGAAATATATTTAAAAATATTTTGTTTTGATATACAACCTGTTTAAATATCTTCAACACAATTTATTTATTTTTTTGGATCAATTCCCATAAAACGAGTAATCTGTTCCGTAGTTCTGATTTGGCAGTCGTATTTCAAAAATGTATGTCACGTAATGTTATCATCCAACACTAATGTTTTGAAATTGTGAAAACTTACTGCAGAAACTGTAAGCTTTTTTCTTATTGTGCCAACAAACAAAACCGGCACATCTTTGACAGTAAAATAGTATTAACCTACAAGTTACTGTCAAAAAAGTTAATTTATGGATTGCCATTTGGTCTCAAGAAATGATAGATCAATATCATGACGAAGATATATGACAAATTTGTTACACACATTAACATAATTATTTAATATTATAATATTTTTTTAATTATTTAATATTTTTTTAAGTACAATTAAAGTAAAAGATATACGATTTAACTATTATGAGATATTTGCTCGAGATATTTTAGAAAGAGTAGTTTTACACATTGATGGAGAGAATTGGTCACGAAGATCATTCAATTCATCACTAATGGACCGTTCGGTAAGGAACGTGATACTCTGAATACATTTCTTCTTCGTGTGACTCCTGGGCTATTGCCAGCTACGTAGCCATAAAATATCAGGAATTATCTCAAAGAAACATACGGTTGTTAAAGAAACACTTATGGCAGAATTTAAGCAAGTGTTGGATATAATCCAGTTGCTATTCAAGAAGTATTATTCAATTTCATTTTCACCTTTCATTTCCAGTTAAGTTATATAACTTTATAAGGTCTTAGAGATGCTACATATTAGTAGATCTGCTAAATTTGAACATACATAATTTCATAGACGAGGACATGTAAAAAGAACCAGGAATTTAATATCGCAAATATTCAGGATGTATGTTGTGAAAAATTGTTAAAAAATCAAAATATATATATCAGCATATATTAATAATATGCATTTATGTAAGTCTGAAGAGACTTAGGTAAACAACCTACAATAAATGGAAATATAATAGAATAGAATAGAAAAATAGGAAAACATAGAATAGAAAATATAGTAGAATAGAATATAACGGATACTGGTGCACGGAGAGCAGAACCTTGCTACAATGCTTTGTCCTACTAACTGAACTTGATTATATGAAAAATACTATTTCGTTCGAATGAAAGTCAAAATATCAGTTGATGCAGACATCATAATTTCAGACGAGAATAGACTCTACTTCTGATCGTAGAGTTTCCTCTTCACCTACATCACAGCTGAACAGTCGCAAAAATTTGAGTAATGGCCTTATCCGCTTTTAAGCAATAAACAAAGACCCCTCAGATAACCCTTCCACAACCTCAGTTCGATTACACTAAACATGGGTAGTCTATTGCAGTTAAATGAAAGCAACAGCTCTTTAGCGTGACAATTACTTGAAGTGTAGCACCAGTACCGATAACTTACAATAACATCTAATAATAGATAAGAATAGATAATAGCTATTATCTATTTATCTTTATCTGTATTTTTATTATAATATTAGATAATAATTATAATAATGTGTATTACATATTTTTTTCTGTTTAGAATGCGGTTTCTCTCAAGGTCACAAAAAACTTATACTGCAACATATGATAATTGTATGCGAATGCGAATAATCCGGTGACTACTCCATCTATAGATACATTTCAAAAACGCTGTCAAGAGTTTAGTGAGTGTATGCTAATTTGTGTTTGTCTATTTATTTATGAGTTATAAGTCATATTTGTAAGTTTTTAAGAGCTAGTTGACGAAACATTACCTTCTATCTGTTAAGATATCTTAGTATTTTGTATATAGGTACACATATCATAAGATAGTTGCTTATGGGTATACAGTTTTCTGTCCAAAGTAAAGTACATAACTTGTACTTAGAAAAAAATTTATTAAATAAAAAAAAATTAATATGTGAAGTCCAAAGATTCAATTGTATCTATGTATTAGTATGCAGTACAATGTTTTTTAGGTTTAGCATTGAACATTGAAATTGAGCTTTAGAATTAATTTTGAATTCAATCTTTGTATGCTGCAATACATACATATAAGGCTCGTCTAATATTTACAATTACAATCCTACTAGCACATTTTTTTCTAATCACAGGTTGGTTTCTATTTTTAATCACACCAAGGTTTCCAAATTCAGGATCGCTGATCTTTTTCTTTTTGAACGTACAAACGTACAAATTGAATAACTGAATTTTGGCTCTTCTGTTTATATCTGTAACTATGTACCTACATAGATACAAATTTCGCGGATGTACGGGCAGTGCTCGCTTTTGTATTTTTGGTTTATGTATGCCCAACTGAATAAATTTTATTTTCCACTTTGATGCTACTTTTGTAACAATTTTTTCCATGAAGATTTTTACAAAATTTTGTACTGCAAGCGTTTCTATTTTTTCAACTTTTTTTGAGTTTTATGTAAGTTTTTTTTCACAGTGTAGTTTTCGGTTTTTTGGCCACTGAGATGTAACGTTTTAGTTACCTTTTTATGCAGCGCACTTTCAGGCTAAAAATGCATGAATGAGCATGGAAAAAGCGCATTTAAATGCTCACCTGAAAGGCGCCGCAGTCCTGGCCAAAAGGATTTATGGTTGTTAGTGTGTATGTATGTGTATGTGTGTGTCTGTGTGTTTCTGTGTGTTTATGTTTTGTGGCAACTTAAAAAACTATCAAATATGTATCATTTTTTTATGTATTGCAAGCAAGTGAGCGTATATTTTCATTTGTATTTGTATGTGAAAATGTAAATAACTTTTTTATGTGAAATGCTTTTTTCATATAACTGCATACTTTTACATTGTATTCTATTTATTATTTATTTTTTTATCTATTTTTTTAACCCGTTTGTAGCCGCAGGATGAGCAGCGAATGAATACAAAAATTTAATCAACCAATTGTAATATCAAACAGGGAAAATCGAATGAAAAAAGAATCTAAGTTCTCTAACAATTGAAAATTTTAATTCTTATCTAGAACTGAAAAGTGATGGATAATACATGAGATGTGCATATCGAATATCAAAGCAAATAAAGGCTTCCGTTAGGATTTTAGAAAAGTTCATAGCAAGTTAAGTGTAACAGTAAAACAGCAATATAATCTGATATCCTTACAAAGGAAAATATATACAATTTACATGACTAAATGGTTCAAAGAGACTCATATCAGTATTTGTAATCCTAATATGTCTCTTAATTGAATTAAAGAAGGTGTTTACACGTCTTATAACTGCTTAAGTATTGTGGTGAAGAAGATTAGTGGAGTAATAGAAAGCAATTGCTTTAAGTTGAGCTTTAAACTAGCAAGCTGTGAAGATGTTAAAACCTTTAAATACTTTGATTTGCGCTTAACTAAAATGCAGAACGTTGAAACGACTATAAGAGATAGATTCCAACTAGTTAATGTAAGTTTTAATTGTTTTAAAAGAATCTTATGCTTTCAAAAATTATAACTAGAAAAACCAAAATAAGGAAATAAATGTGTAAAGTAGCATGGCGAGAAGCAGCGACAGTAAGATTTGATAACTGACAAAAAGTAAGACTAACAGGTCTTCCTATATTAGAAACAAATATGTCTCGAAGCATATTAAAGCCGGTTCAAGAGAAAAATATTTAAGGAAGATACAATGATGATAAGCTAAACCGGGTATTTAAGCCAGTTCAGGAGAAAAGTATTATTAGGAGATATAATTATCATGAGCTAAACCGGGTATTTAAGCCAGTTCAGGATAAAAGTATTATTAGGAGATATAATTGTCATGAGCTAAACCGGGTATTTAAGCCAGTCCAGGCAAAAAGTATTATTAGAAGATATAATTACCATGAATTAAACAAAGTATATAAGGCAGTTTAGAAAAAAGTATTAAATGGGGATATAATTATCGTGAACTAAACCGGATATTTAAACCAGTTCAGGATAAAAGTATTATTAGGAGATATAATTATCATGAGCTAAACCGGGTATTTAAGCCAGTTCAGGATAAAAGTATTATTAGAAGATAAGATTGTCATGAGCTAAACCGGTATTTAAACTAGTTCAGGGGATAAGTATTATTAGGAGATATAATTATCATAAGATAGATCGGCTAATGCAATGATTCATTTTACGATAAAAGCGAATACTACATATCATAATCATAATCAAAAGAAAGCAGTAGAAGCCACTCGAATCTTAAATTTTTTTATATATATCTACGTCCTTAATGGTATCTCAAACTATAGATATGTTCGAATGTAGACTTAAGACATATTTGATTTAAGACTAATACAATAGTTTCAATGTAAGGAATTCAAAATTATTGTCTGTATGTGATTATATGTATGTATATGAAATATATATGTGAATTTCAAATATTAAACTATTGGTTTGGGTAGTGTTTAGTTATAAGTAACCTTAATATGCTTAAAATATTGTAGCACATTATGTTATGTGTATTATTATGCAAAGTTATAGGTACCATAGATCTATTGAAGTAGCAATGATTTCTGGTCTTTAATGCACACATACATTAATAGTGATTTGATATAATATTGTAACAATTGTTAATATTTTTATGTCTATATTATATCTTATTTCAGTGCATAAGATATGATTTCTAATTGTATATTCTATTGGTATATATAACATGGATTCAC